ACACACACACACACACACACACACACACACACACACACACACACACACACAGTGAGTAACTGTTTGGTCAACAGGCTCTTTTTGTCCTTCATGCTGGAATAATTAGGGGTTCCTGCTCGACAGCACGATGACACAATTAGAGCCTGGTACGTGATGCGTGCGTTACGTCAGAGAAGTTAAAGTGACAGAGGCTTTCCTGACTGACGTGCAGCTGCTCAGCTCAGCTGAGAGAGACGATGTGAATCAGTGAGGTGTGTGTGTGTGTGTGGGGGTCATCTGTCAGATAAGACACGAGAACAGTGCATGTTGATGTTGGCTTTCTGCTAGTTTGATTAGAGGGATGGTTTTATTTATATAAATTCTTTTTTTTTTTTATTACTCCAACTGCCGAGTGTGACACTAATGATGTCCACCCACGTGTTGCTCTGCTCATGGGGGGGTCAGAATCTGTCAGCACCACCAACTGCAACACAAGCTGTGTCATTTATCCACAATTAGGGGAGTTCATGTATATTAGTGAACAGTTTTTCTCTTTTACATTCGTCACTTGAAAATGAGTTCATGTTTTTAGTGTATTTTCTGGATCAAACTCAAGACTTGACGTAAATGAGGCTAAAATGATTAAATATGTGGAAGGGTGGCGCAGTTGGTAGAGCTGCCGCGAACCAGTGAGAAGGTCGCCGGACTGAGTCCCGATCGGGGATTTTTCTGGGTGGAGTTTGCATGTTCTCTTTGTGATGTATGGGTTTTCTCCGGTTACTCCAGTTTCCTCCCACAGACCAAAAACATGCACGTTAGACTGACTGGTAACTCTAAATTGTGCCTAGATGTGAGTGAGAGAGTGAATGGTTGACTCGTTTGTCTCTATGTGTCCCTGTGATGGACTGGAGACCTGTCCAGGGTGTCCCCCGCCTCTCGCACAGTGATGGTTGGATATGAGCACTAACGACCCCCACGACCCAAAAAGGAGGAAGAGGGTAAAGACAATGGATGGTTGGACATGAAGACAGAGACTTTACTGACAGAAACTGTTGGCCAGTTGATAAAATAATAACTGAAGACACATTTCTATTCTTAATAAACATCACACTAAGATGGAGTAAATTAATTATTAAGACAGGTTTACTAGAAATGCTGTTTAATATAAAATATGTACAGTATATGCTGACAGATAATATAAACTAATTATCCTTTTCACAATGGCCATCTTAGACCTGGACTTTGGCGTCTTCTTGTTTTGTTTGTCAGGCAGAAAGGCAAATTGGGGAAAAGCCTCTGAGCTGGGAGAAGACGCAGCCTTCAAGTCAAAATTTGTTTCTCGTGTGCGCGTGAGTTAAAGCCAGAACACAGGAAGTTGCAGACACCAACACTGTTTTAACATGAACTATTCAGCAATGCTAGCAGATTATTTAAAAGGAAGCACTGTTTGGTGCGAATGAACTTGAAAATACTTCTTTCTGATAAGAGCATAAAAAATAGAAAAAAATCTAAATAAAAACCTGATTGTTGCCTCTTCATTATCACAAAGTAGATTTTCAGATGATACAGGATTACATTGAAAATCAGCTGTTCTGAGTTCATAAAATTGAACAATTGAGCCCCTCTTGATGTGAAATGGTTGAGTTAACAGCCAAACTCATCAAGAGTACTTAACATGTATATCATTGTTAAATGGACTAAATATCCAGACTCACCTGGACAAAGCTGCAACGTTTCCTAGTGTGTAGAAAACAGCAAAAAGCTTGACCCCACCAGGAACAAACAGCAGTGCCGTGCCCTTGGAAAGTGGCAAAACATTCATAACTTACACAGAATAATGCCCTTACATATCAATTAAGATGCAAAAACACACAAGAATGTAGTCATAACACCTACAACTAATAAGTATTTAGGAAGAAAAAAATTAACGTACATAATGTATTAATAAAAAGATAAGGATTTTATGATTTTACTGAAGTGTAGCTGGCGCCCTCTGGTGGTATAACAATTTAAAGGATTTGTATGAATTAAAATAATGGCTGTTTACCATCAGATGTGAGTGAAGAAAAACTGGTGCTATGAGTTTCATAAAACGACTGGTTTACATTATTGCCTTCCGCCATGAAAGTGGGCAATCATGTATTTGAAGGCATGTTAATCTATTGTGTGTGTGTTTTGAAATCAACCTGAAGATGACCACTGCACTTTAGCAAATATAAAAACGGCGATAATTCAGCTGACTTACACAAGTGGAGTTAGATTTTGGTGCGTTAGTTGCTGAAAGTCATTCCCAACACATAGTCAGAGCGCTAACAGATTCCATCAGGTCTTTGTTAAAAACTTCTGCATGCAGGGTGGATGGGGTTTAGAGGTGGCAGCTCTGCAAAGACCCTTCACCTTTGAATTTTACCAGCCAGGTTTCACAAACAAAGGCAACATTCGAGGGTTAGTGTGAATTATCACGGTGAGGTGTAAGACTGAGACAACACTTCCTGTCGTCTTGAAATGCGAGTTTTGTTACATACAGCAAACTTTATTTATGGGTAAATCAAGTGTAAGCAAAAGAAGGACGAGGACTACCGAATGGTGTCAGAGATACGGTGAATACTTTGGGTTTAAAGCGAGTAAAGACAGCACTAAGACCTCAGATCATAGCTGATGTTTACCAGGGAGGGCAGAGGCTCTGCAGTCTCCATTTCACAGTGGTCACGAACAAAACACACAACGTGCAGAGACACTCACGAGAATTGAACACAGGATGCCTCCAGCAAAGCATATGACAAACCACTTTATCCTGGTGCTGTAGCTGAGAGAGCTGGCATCAAGGACCTAGTGGGAACAATAGGAGGATGTCACAAGACAAGCCTAATGACCTGCAGAAAGACCCACAGGCTTCACACTCCAGAGGGAAACCTCTAACAACCAAAGTGCTGTCTCTAAACACAAGCAAATACATCTTAAAAGGCACAGAAACAGAGCAAAGTGCACTAAAAATATATACATGACTAATAAACCCACCTTACCTCATCTCCTCCTAATCCCGAAGGCGTGAAAGAGTGTAAACAAAACATTTTATTACCAGAAAGGACACGACAGCTTGCTTTAAGCTAACTGCTTGACTAAAAAAGGAAAATTAACTCGTACTTTTAAATAACCACAAACATTTTACAAGCACGGCCCTTTGAAGTTGTTAATAGTAGTTATTTAAACAGTCTGAGACAGGCAGCGAAAGTGGAGAAATGCAACTTTTTAGGTTTGAGATAAGCAAACGATTAGCATTAGCGGCTAACCTGCGCTGTGAGCCCCAACTCTTCATTGTCTTCCCGGCCGCTTAAAACACGACGAAGTTTGTCCATCACAGAGTCCCCCGCCAGGAAAACTGCTCCAAAAACTCAAAACTGGACACTTGAGTTTCTATACAACAAACTGCACGTCCGCCGTTTGTGTCTACAAATGCTAACTGCAAACACGGAGGACTTCCGGTGTGACGCTTTCCGGAAATCAAACAGAAATACGTTGCGTAACTTTCTGCTGATCAGCCGGAAGCGTGATTAAATTTCCGGGTGTTAAAAAGAACGGTAAAAAATGTACGTGACACAGGTGGAGGAAAAAAGAAAAACACTGCTGTCAAACGTTTTCATGTTTTATGAGTGAATGTTTATGGGTTTGTCGCCATCTAGTGGACATTAAGTGAAACAACTGCTGTTCTCCACGGAATAAAAACATTTTCAAATGTTCCCCTTTTCCAGTTTAGGTTAACAGGCTAAAATACTTTCATGGTAAAAAAAAAAAAAATGCTGAAGTAATTTATTTAGAATTAACAAGCTTCAGTTATGAATTCACGCAATTCAAAAATACAAAGTGAATTGAAAAGTAACCCTGCGTGTTTTCAAATATCAACCATATAGCTCATTAAAAAAAGCTCAGTCTAATGTTATAATTGTATTGCATAATGGGATATTTTCTTCTTCTATGTGTTCAACAGTGTTTTGTGTCAAGGCTGAACAACATTGTTGACTTTGAATTATACTTTTGGGGTCATTCTGTCCTCCTGAAAGGACACCATCACTTATATGGATGTTTGGGCACATTTCCTTCTTTATTACTTAACATGTCAGTTTTCCAGAGCAGAGGAAAGAGATGTTGTTGAAACACAATAATCTTTTTTTTTTCTCTCTTTTTTTTCTGAAATTACTCCAATTGAAAGTAGCATAAAGTTGATTAATTCACATAAAAGTGATACAACAATCAAAACATTTCATTTGTAGACAGGAGCTGGGAGTGATCAGACTGCTGAGCTCCACTCCGTGATCTGTTGCAGCTCAGACACTGAAGAAAAAGAACCAAGAAGCGCAGATGTGACTAATTGGACAAACCGCCTGCTGTGGACGTTTTACAGGCCCAATGAGCGATGTGGACGTTGCTCCCTGTCCCGTTCCTGCGCTGTCACTTTTATTCCTCCATGGATGCACAGGTTTTGTGTGCCCGAGGTTCTGCAGATGTTTGTCCGACGCTGTGCGATTTTATGACAGAAGAGGAGGAACACAGAGACCCCAAACTGTAAGACAGTCCGGGATTTGTAACACAGTGAAGGCTGTCCAAGCGGATCCCGTTTTTGGCCTTTTAATACCTTAAGTCCATCCATCCATCCATCCATCCATCCTTCCATCCATTATCTTTACCCACTTATTCCATTTTGGGTCACGGGGGTCGCTGGTGCCCATGTCCAGCAATCACTGTGCGAGGGGCGGGGTACACCCTGGACGGGTCGCAAGTCCATCACAGGGCCACATAGAGACAAACGAGACAAACAACCATTCACTCTCTCATTCACACCTAGGGACAATTTAGAGTTACCAATTAGCCTAACATGCATGTTTTTGGTCTGTGGGAGGAAACCGGAGTACCCGGAGAAAACCCACGCATGCACGGAGAGAACATGCAAACTCCACCCAGAAAGGCCCCTGGACCGGGGTTTGAACCAGGGACCTGCTCGCTGAGAGGCAGCAGCTCTACCAGTTGCGCCACCGTGCTGCCCATACCTTAAGTAGGGGTGTAAAAAAACACTTACAAAAGGGGGCCAACATTAAAACCTTTATCAAACTAAGTGCCGGTTTCAGAACCTCTCAAGTCAGATACCCAACATCTTTTCTTGATTCCTCAACAAGAGTTTGATTTGTCTCATTTTACGTTTTCTGTTGCATTTTTGACATCATAATCAAAGATTACTGAAAAAAAAATTAAAGTGATAAAAGTATTTTACATTTAAAATAACACTTGGGGTCCAGATAAGATGTTAAGGAGGGCCACATTTGGTCCCCGGGCCTTGAGTTTGACACATATGCCTTAAGTGTTTTTGAGGGGTGGGAAATTTCTTATCTTAAGGTGACTTGAAATTAGCTGAGGTGCATTCATTTGTTTCTTAGTCTCAATGTGACAGCAAATGTGACACTTCAAGCTACTCTAAAACCTTTAGAGAGCCATTATGGAACATGGTAAATGTGGTCTTTTGCATCGTGTTCCTAGAAAAATTACTCTGCAAACACCTGCGTTAAGTATGCAGGCTCTTGTCATGTTTGTTGAGGAAGACGTGCCAGCTTCCTCTAACAGTGCATGTGACCCAGAGGATTTTGGAACAATTCAATTCAATTCAGTTTATTTATACAGGGCCAAGCCACAACAGAAGTCATCTCAGGGCACTGAACAGAAACAACTGTGCAGCTTTCTATGCGATTAAGTTAGAATAAAATCTTAATAAAATCTTAATATGTGTTTAATGTAGCCTAGATGTGCAAACCCCCATTAAGTTGGCCTCAGACAGTCAGATGCAGAGCATCCTCCTACCCTAAACGGTTACCATGCATTAGACTGTGACGAAACCTTGAAGGCAGTAAATCTTGACCTCTGCTTTAATAAATCTCATAGCCTCAAATCTCAGCTGATAACGGGAACATCGAGGTTAGCAGCTTCACGTTTGCATAAATGCAATGAAAACGCGTTTGGGAAACTTTAAAATTAATGGGATTTTTTTTCTACCACTCTACCATAATTTTTCTAATACTCAGCTGTGACTGAGTGGTTAGAGCAGTCGTCCTCCATTGGGAGAGTTGGGGGTTGGATTCCTTCACTATGCAGTGACATGTTGAAGTGTCCCTGGGCAAGACACTGAACCCCTCATTGTCTTCAATGTGTGTCCCTGATGATGCTCCTGGTTTTCTTCTCCAGCTGGAACAAGCTGACAGTGCCTCACTTCCTCATGTGTCACCTGGCTTTTGCTGACCTCTGCATTGGCGTCTCCTGGTGATAGCTACGGTAGACTGGCAAACACGCGGTCACTACAGTCAGCACGCCATCCAATGGCAGACTGGGCCTGGCTGCAGCGCTGCAGGCTTCCTGTCTGTGTTTGGAGGGGAGCTATCGGTCTACATGCTTTCCACCATCACCCTGGAGCGTTGGCACACCATCTTCAGTGCTCTGCAGGTGGAGCGCCAACTGCTTCTTACACAAGCAGCGAGTATAATGGCGGCTGGTTGGTCGCTCTGTTTCATGATTGGGACGCTGCCACTGGTTGGTGTGAGCAGCTACACCTAAGTTAGTATGTGCTTACCCATGGACATAGAGGCTCCTCTGCCTCAGGCTTTCGTCGTCATCGTCCTGCTCCTCAATGTGAGCGCCTTCGTCATCGTCTGCGTTTGTTACGTTCTGATCTTCCTGGCTGTAAAGAACCCAGAGTTCCCTGAAAGAAGTGCAGACACTAGAATTGCAAAGTGCATGGCACCCATCTCCATTTTTGCCATCTCTGCTGCCTTCAAGCTTCCCCTCATCACAGTCACCAACTCCAAGATTCTGCTCGTCCTCTTCTTCCCCATCAACTCCTGCGCCAACACCTTCCTTTATGCCATCTTCACCAAGGCTTTCAGAAAAGACGTTTATCAGCTCATGTATGTCATCGGCTACTGGAAAGGCAAGGGCGGCATTTATTGTTTGAACACCTGCTGCTCAGGGAATACAACAGAAAGCAGCTTGAGATCTGATAATACAATATCCCAAACTGGAATTAGTCTGGCTCCTGTGGAGCGACTTCATCTCAGCAATGAGGGAGACCGCAACTGAAAAACAAGAGAAATGGAAACATTTTGGACAAAGAAAACTGAGAAAAATCATAGTTTAGTTATAAAATAGTCGATATATAACGAAAATAGTCTTTTTAACAAAATACAACATGAAATAAACTCTGCAAACTCAAATCTATCAGATTTCTGGTGTCGATATTTTAGCCCTTGAGACCAATTTGAATGTGTCCTTTTCACTTAAGCTACATCTTAATGTTTGTTAAAGAAAAATACAAGTGTATTTAATAACACTAATAAAAGATTCATCATTCAACCCACATGTACAGTAGTTTTCTGCTTAATGCAAGCGTAACGTGTGAGAAGAAATGTTCTTTGTACAGAAAAAAGTTTAAAAAAAAACTAAGTCAAAGTTTCTTTATTTGTCATATGCGAACAAAATTGTGTACACAGAGTCCCAGTTACATCCAACAAAAGCATAAACTGTAAAGAAAAACAGTAATAAGATCTAAGATACAGTATGAACTAAGGAAATCGTTAACTAAAAATATACTAAACACTAGTAGTACAAAAACAATATGCCGAACAGCAGCACGAGCATGAGTCTGTGTGAGCAGATGAGTACGAGCACAGCAGCAAGAATAAATCAGCAGCATGAGATCAGCAGCATGGATAATCAGCAGCACATATCATCGATCAAAGTGGCATTGCAGTGATTATTTCACAGTGATTATCCTGGTTAGAGATACATGAGTCTAACAGTGTCAGGGTAGAAGCTGTTCCTCAGTCTAGTGGTTCTACACTTAATGCTCCTCAACCTCCTGCCTGAGGGGAGCGGGGCAATAACTGTGTGTGCTGGGTGAGTGGGGTCCTTCATGATGCAGGTGGCCCTCTTCCTGCATCTGGAGGTGTAGATGTCTGTGATGGTGGGGAGGTTGACTCCAACAGACTTCTGTGCAGCTTTCACCACTCTCTGCAAAGCTTTTCTTTCTGCAGCTGTGCAGCCTCCGTGACACACGTTGATGCTGGAGCACAGGATGCTCTCCACTGCACACCTGTAGAAGGAGGTGAGGACTGAGCTTCCCAGACCAGCTCGCCTCAGCCGTCTGAGGAAGTAGAAGTAGAAAAACACGAGCAAACAGAAAAAAAAGAACCTCTCCAGTGCTGCTATTGGACCCTGCTGGGTATAAAGTCCTCAAAGTGGTCTAAACATGACTATTTGAATGTTTCATCGATTGATTAATGGACATAAATACTATGTTATATTATTTTACAGTGTCATCAGGGAACTAGAAAAGTCACTGCAGGTCTGAGTGGTTCTTTCTGGAGCTCAGTGTCTGAATTTGACCACATGGTGGAGGACTTGGGCTCACATGTGGTCACTAAATATCAATCAAGCTGCTATTTGTATTTATCACGTTAAAATGAATCCAATTAAAGGAGAAATGTATATATATAAAAAAACGAATAAACACGAAGCTTCAGGGGGTTAAGATGGGGTGTTTATGAGTGTTTGTTGTGTTCAGGCTCGGTTCGGTCCCGCCTTCTCGGGATCCCGCCTGTGACGTCACGAAACGTTGAAACTTTTTCCTCTTCTGTTGAGTCGTGCAGCCGCTAATCGGTGATGTTGCGTTTAATCCGCGTTGAATCGTCCGCTTCGACGCAGTCTGTTTAAAGTCGCTGTTGTGTTCAAGGACGGAAAAGCTCAAATGGCAAAAGCGTCAAACTGTGTCTGCTTGGAAATATTTCTCTTCTCTGTAGCCATTCTTGTGGAGAGCTCCGCCAGCGGTAAGTTGTTTATTTTTCTTCGGGGGTTGTGTTTTCCTGAACTTAATTTATGGTCCCTGAAGTAGCAGCTCAAGGCAAACTGAAGGCAGCTTTCTAGACTAGAGAAAACAGCTGGAGAAGATTTAAAATCTGGTTAAAAAAACAACTTTATGAGGTTTTATAACCACCACTGAATTACTTAATTGATTGGATAAGTCAGGTTTTATATGTGTAACAGTATTCAGGCAGGTGAGTGTTGTTCAAAGTGCAGTACCAGCTCAGCAAAACGTCTCTTTTCTTGTAAAACCATCAAATCAGAACATATACAGGTATCAAACAATGAAAGACAGTAATATATCATTATAAAAAGGAAAAAAAAAAACAATATTAAAACAAATTATACTGTTAATACAAGAGTAATGTTTGTTTACAGACCTATCAAGCTGCTAAAGTTACAAAAATAAAGACATTTCACAGCTGGAAATTTGTATCTTTTAGCAGCTTTTTTTTTGTCTCTGAGTGATTTTTTTTCATAGTCGAATGGCAACACGTGAGTTTGAACACAAAATTATATTTCTCTCCAACTCTTGAGATTCATCCCATTAAAAAGAACAAAACAAACTATATGAATATCAAAGTGTGCAGTTTGAAAGAGTTTATTCCACTGGTTTTCCAGATTTGTTCATTTGCAATAATGGATTCTGGGTCTGCACTCAATGTAAACAAAGCACTTGGATGAATTGGCCAAAACCCACATGGCAGCTTGAGTCAGGTTGAGTCAGGACGGTCATTTGTCTGGTACATGGCAGAATCCATCAAGGGTAGAATCTCTGAGAAGTTGTTTAAATTTGAGTGAATCTGCTGCTAAAAGTGAGAGAAAAGAGAAAGATGGAGTAAAACAAGTTTCAAGAATAAATACTGAGGGTCAAGCAGGGCAGTGGAGCGCCACAAAGACAGAACTCGCCTTCTTCTAGACCAGTAAGTTTGTTTCAACCTAACTCATCAATTTATCTGCACATTTTACTCAACAAGTCTGAACATAGATATGTATCAACACATGAAAACTGTTGTACTTCTCCCTCCCAAAGGGCATTTTCATGTTGACCTATTTTCAGTCACTTCGACTGATCTGTAGGAAAAAAAAAACATACTTGGTAGTTGTTATCCATCGTAAATTTTTCTTACAAATTTATAATTTAATGATACATCGATATGAGAAAAATGCAGGGATTTTGTTTCTTATTTAGGAATCTTTTTTGCTTGGTCTTCATGACTTTGCACTTAGTACCTTTAATTAAGCTTGTGATAATGTACAGAGGATTAATAAATCTATGCCTTACTTTATAGCAGTTTTAGCTAAACAATTTAGTTTCACATTGGTTCATGTTAGGTTTATTTGTCATATGCAAAATCAACACAAGGTCAACAATGCAATAAAAGGCTTAGGACGAAAAGAACCGGCTCTAAATCAAAACAACAAAAATAAAACAAAACAAAGAAATACCAAAGCATGCAGCAAAAATACTAAAAACTTACTAAAAATATTACTAAAATACTAAAAGCATATTAACAAATACTACTAAAATACTAAAAACATATTAATAAATACTAGTAAAATACTAAAAACATACTAAAATACTACTAAAATACTAAAAAGGTACTAAAAATAATATTAAAATACTAAAACATACTAGTAAATACTACTAAAATACAAAAAACACACTAAAAATACTACTAATACTAAAAACATACTAAAAATACTACTAAAATACTAAAAACATACTAGAAATACTACTGAAATACTAAAAACATACTAAAAATACTACTAAAATAATAAAAACATACTAAAAATACTACTAAAATATTAAAAACATAATAAAAATACCACTAAAATACTCAAAACATATTAAAAATACTACTAAAATACTAAAAACATACTAAAAATACACTAAAATACTAAAAACGTCATAAAAATACTCCTGAAATACCAAAAACACACTTAGAAATGCCACTAAAAACATACTAAAAATACTACTAAAATACTAAAAACATACTAAAAATAATAAAAACACTAAAAATACTACTAAAATACTAAAAAGTAAGGTGCCAAAGTAGAAAAAGAAATACATCTACAGTGTGATTCGGTTAGCAGTGAGGTTCTTTCAACATCATGGTTCTGTTCTGTTAGCGGCGTGGTCTTGTTAGCAGGTCCGCTCAGCAGCTTGATGGTAATAATGACTGCAGCAGCTGCCCTCGCAGACCGCAGTCCAGAACCGGGTCCGGCAGACAGAGAACATCTAAGGTTTCATCCAACTTCCCAACATCCAAAATGTTAAATCCATTCGGCTTTTACAATAAACTGAGTTTGTCGGAACAACGTTGCTACTTTCAGTACAAAGATAAGGTGACAATTATTTGTTCACATTGTTGTGGTAAACTTTATGTTAAATGTTAATACTGCATTATTAAACATGGACAGCATCCAAACTGTATCTTCCCGCAGTTGAAAACTCCAGGAGCAACTTTCTTCGACCACCCAGGAACTCCGAGCCTGTCGTGATCCCACGCCGACTTTATCTGAGCAAAGAGCAGCTGAAGTGGCTGCACTTCAAGCCTACGATCAGCTCCTTGCTGCTATCAGAGGGCCACGAAGCTAAAATCAACTGCTCCATCGACATCCCCGACACAGGGCTGGAGCACACCATCATCTGGAAGAAGGATGAAGAGGACCTGCCCTTGAGAGTTCACGTCAATGACCTCAAAACTACCACCGATGGAGTCACCACTCTCCTCTCCACTGTCATGTATGTAGCTTTTTAAAGGTGACATTTAAAAAAAACGAGAGAGTGATGAGTCTGTATATGCTGCGTTTCAGCATTAATCAAGTGCAGAGAGAGGACGCTGGAGTGTACCTCTGCACACTAAGTATCAACAGTGAGATGAAAAGGTCACAGCCAATCACGGTCCAGGTAGAAGGTGAGTTTATAAAGATATGAACGCCAGAATACTTTATGCTAACGTTTACGTTGAGCTTTTTGTACTTTGTTCTGGCTTTTTCAAGGTCTGCCAACATTCACGCTGCAGCCAGAGGACTTGAACGTTACACGAAACACTTCTTTCTCGCTGTCGTGTCGAGCCGTAGGACCTCCTGAACCCGTGGAAATCCGCTGGCTTCGGGATGGACAACCAGACAGTGAACGTTTCATCTCTCCCAGCAGTTACTCTGTGCCAGGTAAAACCCCCGAACAGCCTTTCTTTTCTCTCTCTTTGTCTTGCACTTATAGAAATTAAGAAGTTTCTTCTCTCTGTCTGTTCCTCCGGAGGAGTGAGAAACTCCTGGTTATAATATGACTGCATAAGTCAGTGTGACTGTGAATTAGTCTTAAAGAAGCTCAAGGTCGACTCCAAATTATCACACATAGAGTTTATCCCTAGCTTGTGTTAAAGTAGCTGAAGATGTTTTTTTTTCACCTCTTCTTATTTTTCTTCTTTTGGCTTTTCCCTCTTCAAGCCACAGTGAGTCATCCTCCTCCATCTCACTCTGTCCTCACTCCATCTACCTCCATGTCCTCTCTAACTGCATCCATATATCTCCTCTTTGTCTTTTTCCTGGCAGCTGCATTTCTAACATCCTTCTATCAATATACCCACTGTCCCTCCTCTGGACATGACCAAACCACTGTCCCTGCTCTGGACATGTCCAAACCAACTCAGTCTGGTCTCTCTAACTTTATCTCCCAGTTGTTCAACCTATGCTGTACCTCTGATGACGTCATTGCTAATCTTATCCATTCTTGTTACTCCTAAGGAGAACCTCAACATCTTCATTTCTGCCAGTTACAGTTCTTTCTTTGTTTTCTTGTCAATGCCACTGTCTCCAGACTCCTGGACTCTCTATTTCACCTTTTTACCACATTCCCCATTTTCCTGGACAGTGGACACTAAGTACTTGAAGTCCTGCACCTTTGTGACCTCTGCTCCTTGTAGCCTCACTGTTCCACCGACCTTCCTCTCATTCACACACATGGACTGTGTCTTACCACGGCTGACTTTCAGTCCTCTTCTTTCAAGTGCATGCCTCCACCTCTCCAAGTTTTCTTCCACCTGTTCCCGGTTCTCACCGCAGATCACAACGTCATCTGCAAACATCATAGTCCACGGGGATTCCTGCCTGACCTCATTATACAAGGGCTGATCTATGTGTAGGATTTTTAAGGGATTTTTGTAGGTTGTAAAAGTAAAACCAACAGTTGTTGAAGAAGATCGTATAGATTTCCAAACTAACAAAACAAGCAGTGCCCCTTTTCTTTCAGTCTGACTTCTCCCGGCAACTGAAAGCGGAAACGTTCATCAGCGCAGACAGATACTTGAATCGTTCCTGGTAGTGAAGTTTGACGTTGCTTTCTCACCACTTCGCACACGGTTTCTATTCTGCCTCTCTCTGCTGCCTCAGCATCTCATACCTTGCTTACTGCGGGGAGATTTGCCATCGCGTTGCACAGCAGAACAGTTAACAGCGGTCACTTATGCATGGACGGCCTTTTTTTTTTGTTGCAACACTGTTTCAAACGTGGGAGTTACACACTCGCTGTGAGCTTCATTGCAGCAGACGGTTACTTTAGCTTGGATATTTTGGAAACTCGCATTGCACTGATTAGTCTCGTTAGAATGATTTGTTCAATTAGCTTTGTAGAGATTTAGTAGCGTGCTGTATGAATGGGTAAATGAGGACACAGATTGTAGTGTAAAGCGCTTTGAGTATCTTGAAATAAGATAGAAAGGCGCTATATAAGTACAGTCCATTTACCATTTATTATTGTACGCTGCATATGCACATGATGGAAATTTGGAGGTTTATTTGCTTGAATTTTCCTATTTTTTTACCTTTGTAAAGAGAAGGAGCAAGGGAACAAATCTGCAACATTTCAGTGTGAACATTGAGAAAACAGGCACTTTGAGCTTGGGGGTTGGTGAGGTATAGAATGTAGCACATGATGGGTGTCTTTTAGGAACAAGACCAGACATGTTCCCCAGTTCCCAGCCTTAAACCTAAACTAAAACGACCAACTTTTAGCTGTGCTGTACCCCTATATTCAACAGGTGGAACAATCTACTTTTCTGTTTGCAGGAGAGCAACACTTGCTTCTTGTAGCATTGTAGCTTTTCATTAATTCACTCAATTCCCTTTTCACGTTGGTCAAAATACAGTTGGATTACAGGGCCAGGGCGCCCAAGATCTGAGCTAAATTCGTTGCTAGGGATTTTAGGAGTTTTAGAAATGTGGTTGTTTAAACACAACTTACCTAAAAGAAAGGGTTCAGTTCAATTCATTTGTTTCTATAGCGCCAATTCATGTTAAAGTCGTGTCAGGGCTCTGTACTAAAACATTCATTATAAAATGCCAGTTGGTAAAAGTTACAGTGGAGAGAACAAGTATTTGATTCACTGTTGATTTTTCAGGTTTTCCCACTTGCAAAGCTTGTAGATGACTGTAATTTTTATCATAGGTACTCTTCAACTGTGAGTGATGGAATCTAAAACAAAAATCCAGAAAAATACAATGTATGATTTTTAAATAATTAATTTCCATTTTATTGTGTGAAATAAGTATTTGATACACCAGAAAAATGAAACTTAATATTTGGTACAGAAACCTTTGTTTGCAATTACAGAGATCAGACGTTTCCTGTAGTTCTTGACCAGGTTTGCACACACTGCAGCAGGGATTTTGGCCCACTCCTCCATACAGATCTCCTCCAGAGACTTCAGGTTTCGGGGCTGTCGCTGGGCCACACGGACTTTAAGCTCCCTCCAAAGATTTTCTATGGGATTCAGGTCTGGAGACTGGCTAGACCACTCCAGGACCTTAAGATGTTTCCTACGGAGCCACTCTTTAGTTGCCCTGGCTGTGTGTTTTGGGTCGTTATCATGCTGGAAGACCCAGCCACGACCCATCTTCAGTGCTCTTACTGAGGGAAGGAGGTTGTTGGCCAAAATCTCACGATACATGGCCCCATCCATCCTTCCCACAATATGGTGCAGTCGTCCTGTCCCCTTTGCAGAAAAGCATCCCCAAAGAATGATGTTTCCACCGCCATGCTTCACGGTTGGGATGGTGTTCTTGGGGTTGTACTCATCATTCTTCTTCCTCCAAACATGACGAGTGGAGTTTAAACCAAAAAGTTCTATTTTTGTCTCATCAGACCACATGACCTTCTCCCATTCCTCCTCTGGATCATTCAGATGGTCATTTGCAAACTTCAGACGGGCTTTGACATGCGTTGGCTTGAGGAAGGGCACCTTGCGTGCACTGCAGGATTTTAATCCTTGACGGCGTAGAGTGTTACTGATTGTTTTCTTTGAGACTGTGGTCCCAGCTCTATTCAGGTCATTGACCAGGTCCTGCCGTGTAGTTCTGGGCTCATTCCTCACCTTCCTCAAGATCAATGATGCTCCACGAGGTGAGATCTTGCATGGCGCCCCAGACCGAGGGAGATTTTCCGTTATTTTGTATTTCTTCCATTTTCTAATAATTGCACCAACTGTTGTTGCCTTCTCACCAAGCTGCTTGCCTATTGTCCTGTAGCCCATCCCAGCCTTGTGCAGGTCTACAATTTTATCCCTGATGTCCTTACACAGCTCTCTGGTCTTGGGCATTGTGGAGATGCTGGAGTCTGATTGATTGAGTGTGTGGACAGGTGTCTTTTATACAGGTCACGAGTCCAAACAGGTGCAGTTAATACAGGTAATGAGTGGAGAACAGGAGGGCTTCTTAAAGAAGAACTAACATGTCTGTGAGAGCCAAAATTCTTACTGGTTGATAGATGATCAAATACTTATTTCACACAATAAAATGGAAATTAATTATTTAAAAATCATACATTGTATTTTTCTGGATTTTTGTTTTAGATTCCATCACTCACAGTTGAAGAGTACCTATGATAAAAATTACAGTCATCTACAAGCTTTGCAAGTGGGAAAACCTGAAAAATCAACAGTGTATCAAATACTTGTTCTCCCCACTGTATGTATTGAAGGAAGCCAGCAGATTGTGTCTCGAAACCAGTGCAGACCAGCTCTCAGCAAACTGTTAGAATAAAATTACTTGTAATGATTCATATTTTAAGCACAAGTTGTGTTCAAGAATGCAGGTGATACGTTGATTGAACTCATTTAATACTTTTTTTTAATCACATGTTGGCTCCATAAACTGGGTTTCAGTGTAGGTCCATTACACCAGGGGTTCTCAAACTTTATGGGTTCAGGGACCCCTTACAGTGGAGAAAAAGTTTTAGGGACCCCCCTCATAACTCTCATGTTTATTAAATAATTTTCTTCAATTTGTCTCTTTAATGCAGACATGGTCAACTGAAGGCCCGAGGGCCAAAAGTGGCCCTTGGACAATCTCCATCAGACCCCCAATATCCTTAGTTAAAAAAAACAACATAACTTTTAAATAAAGATTGATAAAAAAAAATAAAAAAGCGGCAATCTATCAGTGAGGCTTAAGGATATTTAAATTAAACATCTTACCCAAAACTAAAAAAAAAACAAATACATTTTTAAGTCATTGTGTTTCCATGCAGAACTAGACTGAACCTTAGAGACTTAGGAACACATATGTTTGGTTTGCGTGGCTCCGCTAACATGTTAGCTAAGACGTGTAATACAGTATATTGTCACAAGAGCCAGTTTACAGAATATATCTTATATTCCTAAAAGACTTGTTTTATAAAGCATGCTAACTATGCTCCAATAAGAAAAAAAGTCTTCTAGATTATCTGTCATAAAGAAAATTTATTTTCCAATTTATTGCTTTAAACATCTTGATGTGGCCCTTTGGGGGAAAAAAAAAAGTTGCCCACCTCTGCTTTAATGTAATAGAAATATTTGTGTAACATAAATATTCAAGACCTTTTCTTTAATAGTGTTAATGCAATTTTTTATACTTTTAAACACGGGGTATTTTTCATTCAAGACACACAAGAAAATGAAAACAACATTTTTAATTTCAACTTCCAAAAATTACAGTTTTGAGGAATTAACAGTATCAAAAACCACTTTTTTAAAACTTTATCTGTTCACATAATGAACAAAATAAATGTATTGCTTCGTCTTCAAATTATTACAGAAAACTCTTTGTGTATAATTGAACAGAATCATCACAGCAGTAGTCATACCAAGTAACAGGGCTTCATTTGTAAACTGACTGATGCTGCAACGCAAAAAGCG